TACCTACCTACCTACTTATTTACCTACTTACCTTACCTATGTACCTACCTACCTACCTATCTACCTATCTAGCTACTACCTACCTTACCTACCTAACTACTCACCAACCTACCTACCTACCTACCTAGCTACCTACCTAGCAACCTACCTACCTATGTAGCACCAAGCATTATCTATAGATATTATAGAGCCACCCATAAATCTGTTCACATAAACATTTATCCTGTGTCTGTATGGGCAGATCCCTGAGGCACTTAGCTCACAAGTGAACCCTGGCTTCTATCCTGGATGAACTGTGCAAGCTGATCCGGGTCTTCAGGCAGTGCAGCTAGAAGCTCATTTGCATCCATGCCATTTAGCGCTGAAACTAGTGAACTACAGGACCATTGCCGTGAAGTCAGGCGTTCCGGCCTTTTCTCGGAAGCCATATTATGGGCTCGGGAGGGCAGAAAAAAACCCCCAAGCAGACAAAAGCTGTCTGGTGCACAGCGGCCTCGCAGGAAGAGCCAAACCCCCAAGCGTACGGATCAGGCCATACACTGTGTATGGTTTTTTTTGGGCGTTGTATGGTTTTTGGTTGGGCGTTGTGTGGGCAAATCTGGGCGTTGGGTTTCTAAGCGTATTGATTTTCTGGGCGTTGTATGGGTGTTTGTGGGCGTTGCATGGGTGTTTATGGGCGTTGCATGGGTGTTTCTGGGAGTTCGGGGTTGGGATCTATGCTGAGTCCTTGAAAACTAGTTTTTTTTGGTTGGGAATTAGGGGGAAGCCTAGGGAAATTAGGTTATTACTATTCTAAGCGAAGCTGGGTTCATGCGTTCTGGTTCAAACCAACCTGAAACACATTAATTCTAGGCGTTCTCCTTCTAGCAAGCCTTAAATGCATTCCGGCCCTCTGGGGCCTGCTAGCTTCAGCTCCCAGGACCTTCCGAATCAAGGACTTTCCTTTCGAGCAAGCTTTACAGCACCGGGCCTTCTCTGAATCGAGGCTGTTCCCTCTTACTAAGCCAAAAGGACTACAGATATTCAGATAAGTAGAAAGACACTAGATTTGGGACACACTTTTCTTGGAAGCCCTACAGCCCCGGTCTTTCAGGGTTCCTACTGTGTATGTGGGAAGGGGATTTGTATATGGGGATGTATTAGAGGCGTAGCACTATAGGGGGTTTAGTGGGTGCACGAAGAGATTCATTCCTAAGGCCACGTACGAAACAAAGCCACAGAGCTTGTTCCTTTTTTCAGCAACGTGCCACCTAGCAGGGTTGCAGTTAATATGCTGTAGCTGTCTTTTCTGGACATCAGAGTTCTCTGGGGAGATGTGGGGCCCATTCGGCGGGGATCTTCAAGCCTTTGGCACCATAGAGATACTTGACGAAGTCAGTCATATCAGCCATGGGCCATAGATCCTCCCAGCCCCAAGCAGACCAGATTGCCATGGCATCCATGCTTTGTAGTTCATCTTGTTCAAAGGGTCGGGGCGTAAACTTGATCAAGCTGTGGAGCTCGTGGGCAATCTTCTGCCCGAAGGCAGCTGTATACTGCCTTAAATGCACATGGAAACTAGACCTATAGCTTCCAAGACCAAGAAAAGCAACTGAGCAATGACATGGAATAACAGACACCACTGAAACCAGGATGTTTGATCTCAGGACGAGAGACCCTGTAGCCCTGAGGTCAAAAGTCCCCTTGAAGCGCTCCCTGCCCTCCTTGTCGATCCATCTCTTGACTGGAGGGCCACGCTGGTCCGGGTTCCGCTTCTGCTGCTCGGCTTTGACCTGGGCACGCTTCAGTTTCCCCACCCAGAACTTCATGATGGCCCGGCTTGAGGACCACAAAACCGTCGGTTTCGGGGTTCGAGACTCGTAGTGCCACATCCAAAATTGGCACTTGAAGACCTGTGCCAGGGGAGCCGACATCTAGCCAGTATATACTTATACAAGAAAGATGCAGTGGATTGGCAAGCTCGGGATTCGTGCCTGCATTCTCTCAAGGACAAACTGCAGAGGGCTCAGCTGAAACAACAGGGAAGACTTCGGCTGTTCCACCACCCAGGTCCCCATAAATGCAGTTGTTGCCAGGAGCAACAGCGCAACCCTCAGGGAACATGTCACTGAGTGATCTACATGTTGTGGCAGGCCCCAGCCTAAGTAAGCCAAGCTAAATCAAACCTTATATAGCTGTAGTACATTGTATTAAAATCATCAGACCCTCCCTGGCCTAGATGCCATCAGGTTGGCATTCTGAACGGCAGGGATAGTCGCACACCCCTCTGGATTGGCCATTGACCTTCCTGTAGAGCCACGGCTTGTCATGATAAATGAACTACAGTGCACTCCCAGCCAATGTAGATATCCATTCTTGTCTCCGCGGAGGGTGGCTGTCAAGAAAGCCCTCAGATCCGATTGTGTGGCAACAGAGACCCACTTTACATCACTCAAAGACAGGCCATGCACACGACATAGACTTACCTAGTTGAGCCAAGCATCCCAAAACCACCATTCTTTGTCACATCTAGGGCCGCACTCTGCAATATGTCCATGGTAACACATTGTTGTCCCGGGAATTTAGCCCTGACCTGCTTCGTGGCCTCGGCATTTCCAGCGAAGCTCTCGACGAAGGCATAGGAGAACACCTCATTCGGGGCATTGGCACCCTAGGTAGGGAACAACTTAACCTATTGTTTCATGGGGTCCTAGATAGGGTGTGTGTATAGATAGATAGATAGATAGATAGATAGATAGATAGATAGATAGATATATATATATATATATAATGTATATATATATATATATATATATATAATGTATATAGATAGTATACACAGCCTCACGATCGGGGTTGGTGTTTTTGCTGACTAGGCAAACAATCAGAACGTATGTGTGTGTATATATATATATCCTATTATCTATATATATATATAAGTATATATGCAGAGAGAGAGAGAGAGTGAGAGAGACTGAGATGTGTATATTGCTATACATATACATACAAGGGGGGTCACAGATAGTATCTCTCTATAGTAATTCAGACCCCAGGAAGAAGTGAGAGATCCCACCTATGCATTATAATGTTGAGCTGTCCACTCTCTATGTTCACCACCCAGAGTCATCAACCCCAGACTGGAATGTTATGAAATTGCATTACAGGTGGTTGCTTACTTTGATTCCTGCCCAAAACCCGTGGAAGACCTTGATGCATTCTCTGGCACAGCACTGCATTTATCTTTTCAAGAACTGTGCCAAGCCCTGAGGAACCCTTCTAATTCATGTAGAAGCCGGACACAACAGAATCCAGAAGACCCTTTTCTCTCTGTTTCTTTTGTGCACTGAACTGGTTGGCTCCTGTCTCCCTCGTCTTCAACCCTCTCGCCTCTCCCTGTGCCCATATATCCCTGGACAAAGTGTGCCAAGGCCTTGTCGCTCAGCTCCACATCCGAGTTCCACAGCAGCAGCAGGCAGGCAAAGGCCAGGACCTGAAGGGTTAACGGGCTAGGTTGGGTCAGGGTACTTGTTTTTGTTTGTAGAAGCCACACACAGGTTCTATTTGGTCTTGCAGCTACAATTGATGAAGCTCCCATACTCTAAAGTTCATTCGGCGGATGCTGGACACATGCACCAACACATCTGAGTAATTACAAACATAAGCCAACAGACCTTTGGCGCACCGACACGTCGCAGACGCCGAACTATGTCGGCTTCTGTCCAGCTAGCCATGGCAGCAACGACTAGGCTGGAGCTTTCTAGCTGCCCTGTGATTCTAAGACCACGGTGGCAGGAAGACATTTGAGGCCAACTGACACAGTGCAGATGCTGATGCCTGGGGTTGCAATCGTAGTTCGGAGCACATGTAACTCATGTACGAAACAGTCCTTGCAGACTCAAGCTTCACACAAAGTTATCCCTCATCCCACACCAACACATGTCGGTCTCTGCGGCATCCTTCGGGAGCATCAAGTAGGCCAGCTTTCGCAGCTTTGCGCTTGCCCCGAAGAGAAGCAAAGACCTGCGTGGAGAGGTGAGTGCACATAGGGCTTTTAAATTTGCTGGATATACTGGATGATATCTTCAGTCATTTCATGCAGAACCGACTGCACTCATGCTTCGAACTTCGATCAGACTCGCACCAGCATGGGAGCATCTAAGCTAGATTTTTTTCCATCCGGCGGTGGCACGATTGGCCACAAAAGCCACATAGGTTCTGGGCTTGGGTCTTCCCCATTTGCATCATTGCCTGTTCTATGGCCAACCTATTTAGGGCCTGCAGTGGCTATACTCCCTTTACACCCTGACAGTAAAACCCTCTACACCCCGACACTCAAACCCTTGCCTTACAATACCCAAGCCTATAGAAGCCCAACAACCCATCCAAAGCTGCACAAGTTCCAAATGTAGGCAAAACTCTTAGACAACGTGAACAAAACCGTAGCCCCAGGCTCAACCCTAAAAGACCCAAAATCTCGCACACCCAAGCTATTTTCCAATAGGCTTCATATTTCCAAACGAAGGTTTCTTGGCTTGTGGGGCTCAATAAGGTGTCCGGGTCTTTAGGGCTCTATAGTCGGGGCATTCATGTTTCGGGATGAGCAAATTGACATAAATCTAGGTTTCGGTCAGTACATGTACATATATATATATATACACATATGCATACACACACATATATATTTGTTATATACATATATGCACATATAGCTAGGTCTATTTATGTGTATATATATATATATAGATATAGGCACATGCATACAGTTCGACCATCTCATATGTGGCACTTCCTGCCATGTCATTATATATATAAATAAATAAATAAATAAATAAATATATATATATATATATAGGAGGTTCGGGCACTCTCTCAGGCATCACCGAAGTCCATACCAAATGGTGAGTAGCCCCAGCAACCAAACCACCCTATTTTGTTCAAAGAAAAATAGTTCAGGACCCCGGGGGAGTAGACTTTGCAGACCTAGTTTGAGCCTTTATGTAGGAAATATCAACCCATAAAGCCCCATGATGGCCTGCGCAGGCAGCATGTGCAATGTTTGCATAAAGTCAAAACCTGTCTGAATCTTGCTTCAGCAAAACAGGTGGTAGATCGACAAAGGGATGGTTACCACCCCTGCATGACACTGTAAACACTTCGAGTGCGATCATGCACCCCACGTAACCCTCAGACCTTCTCAGACCTACCCTAGCTGTCAGCGACACGGAGGCTCCAGACTGTCCTTTGGATCACACGGCACTTCAGGCCGCTCTGGGAAGTTCGTAGTTCAGCTCGGAAAGCCTTGGTTGATGGGATGGTTGCTTCGACTGTTGCTTCTGAAAACATGGATTGGTCTAGGCCTCTTTAGGGTTTGTGGGACTGATAAGGGTTTAAGGCACTTTAGGGTTGTAATCACATTGAACTTATAGATGGAGGGTTTCTAGGGTTCAGAACTTGATACAGTGGCATGAGGACTTAGAAGACAGGTTGAGTAGTTAATTGTCTTGAGCAAAGTCACGTTCGCACATATTCCAAGGTTGCTTCGGAGATGTACCCATAAGGGTTCTTGTCATGGTCCGTCCAGGCCCGGCACTTCACTTGCACCAGGTCAAAGAACTGGTACTGCAGCAGGATTGGGATTTTTGGGGAATGTACCCTTAAAAATGATATGTGTACATCAAGCTTATATTAATGTAATTCCCTCTAGATTCCTTACCTAGGTTGCTTCCTCTCCCTAATTATATATGTAATATCAAAGGCCAGTCACGTGTCTGCTATAACAATTGGTTCCCTAAACGAATTGGCCCCATTTGGGTGGAGCTATGCTACCCCTGGTTTAAGATCCAAGACTGTCCTCAGCCGCACACTTCTGGCCGTCCTTCAACTTTGGCATCACATAGTCCCTGAATGCACCCACGATGCGGCGGTACTTGTTGATTCCGCTGGCTGTCGTGGGCACTGCACGTCTTGCGAACGTTTTCGGGAGCTCGGACTCCAAGGGTGCAACGTTCAAATCCACATCATTTTCATGCGGGCCAGGGGCCGGCGCCGGCATCTTTGCTGCTGGCTTCTTCATGGCAGCCTTCCCCTTTGGCTTAGCAGCCTTCACCTGAGACTTATTGTCCTTTGCCACGACAGGTTCCTCAGGATCATCGGCTTTGGCTTTTCTGGGCTTGGGTCCTGGCTTTGACACAGGTTCCTCAGGATCATCGGCTTTGGCGTTCATGGGCTTGGGTCCTGGCTCTGACACAGGTTCCTCAGGATCATCGGCTTTGGCTTTCTTGGGCTTGGGTCCTGGCTTTGACACAGAATCCTCAGGATCATTGGCTTTGGCTTTCTTGGGCTTGGGTCCTGGCTTTGAAACTGGTTCCTCAGGATCATTGGCTCTGGCTTTCTTGGGCTTGGGTCCTGGCTTTGAAACCGGTTCCTCAGGATCATCGGCTTTGGCTCTCTTGGGCTTGGGTCCTGGCTTTGCCTTGGGCTTTGGATCATCTGCTTCGGCTTTGGACTCAGAGGCTGGCTCTGCTCTGGCTTGGGCATCGGTCTTGCCCTTGGATGTGGGTGCTTTCTTTGATGAGGTGGCTTTGGCTTGCATAGCATTGCCTGCGCTGTTCTTGGGTTTGGGTCCACCCTTTGCCTTGGCCGCTGCTTCAGCAGTTTCCTTGGCATCTGCTGCGATGCTCTTCTGAGCTGCTTTGGCTTTCTTTGCCTTCCGGCTTTCAAGAATTAAGCGCATCTGGTCATCTTTCGTTGCAGGTACCTAGCATTCGCAGGGTTTAATGAAAGAGTGGTCCCCAGAAGATGTTTCACACTTCCAGAAATCCCCCTGAAGATCAAGCCACACTTAGACTTGTTGAACGATGCCATTGCCTCACACGGGGACACTGACTCATCTTCCTGGGAAACCTTTGGCTCGTCTTCCTCGGAAACCTTTGAACCCAGCTCCATGCAACTCTCGCGAGGTGGAGACGGAGCCATCTGTTCAATGAGGTTCTCCAGGCTCGGCTCTGCCTCTGGCACCTGGGTTTCCTCCTGATCGGGGTTCCTCGGCATAAAGGAACCAATGCCTCAGCAATTGCACATATGTGAAGTCTGACCCTTATTGCAATTGAGTTGAACAAGTTTATAAGTAGGGTGAGGCTTACAAGTAGATCCCAACTAGTAGACTATAAGTCAGAAATGCACAAACATATAAGACAAGGAATATATATATATATATAGATATATATATATATATATAGATATATCTATGAATAGCATTGTGCATTATTCAAAGATACATAAACAAATAAATGAAAATAGTCTGCGTAGATATACACATATATATTTATATACATATGTATGTGTATGTCTGTATGTGTGTATGTATGTAGGTATGTCTGTATGTATGGATGTATGCATGTCTGTATGTATACGAGTCTGTGTGCAGACAACATTATCTAGAGTTTGAAAGCCAGCTCAACTCAAGGACGACCAATGATGAACATTATTGCTTTAAATATGCCCCAGACTTAACTTATCAACTAAGGAAACATGTCATACCAACTGAGAAGAAGATCGAACAGATGGCAGCTTCCACAAGACACATTTGTGGGCTTATAGGACAAGGAAGGCGCGGGGACTCCCCAAATCATAACGAGTTTATTCTTAACTGAAGACCCAAAATAATCTCAACCCAGGCTACCATCTCCGTAGTACAGCGTCTGCGCAGGCGATGCAAAGGGAGCATAGCCTCCACCACTTCCAGCAGCAGCTGCCCCTGCTGCTGCCGGCAAAGCAGCAGGCAGAATCCTGTAGGGGATATGGGGCTTTCAGGATCTTCAGGACATTCCTTAAATAAATAGACTTGTCTCTATATGACAATTGAGTTAGGCATGATACTAGATTGCAACAGCCATAATTAAATCTAGGTAGAACTTGAAAGATTTGGGAACACCCCACATTCCAGTCGAGCCAGTCACTGGGGCAGCTGTGGAGCCCAGATCTCTCAGCTTGCTTCGGCAAGCCTCCAAGAACTTAGCCTTCTGCTCTTGCGTAAGCGTTGGTGACAGGGCATCATTCCAAGTCTTGGAAGGGATGTGCGGGCGACGGGAAAGCGCAGAGGGCCTTGATGACGTTGAGGCTTCATCAGGGCTGGAGTCCACCACACATACAGGGGAGGATTCATCATGTGGGGTCTCATCCAAAAAGGTTTTCTGAGTTAGCAGGCTTGGCTCGGCCAAAGGCTCCTCACTTTCAGAAACATCCGGAGGGGTTTTGGGCATATGCTCATCTCCCCAAGCCTCTGAAGTAGTATGAGCAAGACGATAACCTGCGGCAGCACTGTCTATCCGAAGCTTCTGCTCCCTGCTCAAACTTTGCCGATCCACAGCCTCACGTGCTTCCCCTTGCATAGCCTCGGATGAAGCCTCCCCTTCCATAGCCTCGGATGAAGCCTCCCCTTCCATAGCCTGGGATGCCTCCCCTTCCATAGCCTGGAACAAAGCCTCCCTGTCCACAGCATTGGGTGAAGCCTCCCCCTCAACCAGCTCATCAGGATATTCCATTGGGGCCAATGGCTCATCCTGATCATCATCTTCAACCTCGGCACCTGCTTCGAGAGGCTGAGGACCAGGGTCTGCCTGTGCCAGTGCCTGGTTGGGTGGATGCTGCTTAGCTTTCACTAAGTCAAGACACAGGTATAAATTTGTTATAACACATAGTAACACACTCACACACAGACACGACATAGTTTCAACACATGTCTGCCTTCTGTCTCTTCAGCACATCATGGAGGATGTCCCAGAGCTCCTTGACGGTTGCATCCTTGGCGATTTCTTGCTTATAGGATGGGTCTACATAAGTCGTACATATACACATTTAGAGCTCGTAAGGCTTTTAATTAACCCCACCTAAAATCAGCTCCTAAATAGGGCTCAACAATGACTAAGAAATCATAGTAAAGCTCCCTGAAGGACATGATTATGTAGAAGGCTGAAGAATACACTCTCAGGCGAAAGTAGCCTAAGCACTGCCATCTTCAATCTACATTGGGCTTGGGAAAATGTTTCTGAAGCCGAGGTTCTCGGGGTTGTTCCGTTCGCATGACTTTCGGGCGCAGCAGGGTGAACATCTTGTGTACAACCCAACCATCCTTGAAGGCCCAAACCGCTGGCTCAAAGTTTTGGACCTCCTTGAAATGCACCTTATGCTTGCTATACCACCCCACAAACATCTTTGCCAGCATCTCCGCAGGGTCCGCACTCAGGCGCTGCCGAGCACTCATTTTCAACCCAATCTCCTTCAACACGAGGCTCGCCAGCACGACTGAATCCCCACTAGCAGACTGTATCAGCCTCTTTCCCGATGTGGCCCTGTCACGGAGCTCGACATGATCATCCCAAATTGCTGCCATGCCCTTGCACTCCTCCTCGGAGCACGGCTTGCCATCGGGGTATACTTTGCGCGGCATCCTAAAGTCCTAAAATGTGCTTGCTAGCATGCCCCAGATGCCCTGAATGCCTCGGACCTGGTTTCCCAATGCCACATACTTCCCAGCACAAATGAGCTGCCATAAGCCACCAGCAGTCAACAGCAGAATCTTCAAAAGCACAATCAAGTAATGCAGGACTGCAACTGACACATTGGAACCTTGTGACAGCAGTCCGAAGCCCTTTATGCCCATTCAAACCCAGGGGTGGGCGCACCGATTGTCCCCCGGAGGACATTCTGGAGAAAGCCAGAGCCCACTGGTCGGCATGACGGCGGCTCCAATCATCTCGAACATTTCGCCATCGATTATTGTTAGTAGGGCTGGGATTGTTTGGGTTGGTTGGTATCGATAGTCAGCTAGCAGGTCAAGAGAAAGAGAAGATGAGATATGTATGTATATAAAGAGCGGTATATACATATCTAGAGAATTAAGAAGCTACATTGAAACTGCCTGTATGTACAAGAATCCCATAAGCATCTGCACTACATATCATACATCTATGAAACCCAGATCTCTGGGGCCTCCGAAGGCCTCTTTCTTGGACCACAAGCAATCCGAACCTGCATGGGGGCGGGTTTTAAGTGAATCTAAGCGTACATGCCTGGAATCTATGCGTTGTGGGTGTTTCTAAGCGGGCTCAGAAAACCGTCAGCGTAGCAGGGTCCAGGTAGGGATTGGACTGGAGGAGGCACTCGGAGGGACCCGGCCGGTAAGAACACAGCCATCGGAACCGTGCCAAATCTCGACACCTGCGGCGCTCAACCTTGATGGCGCAACCCTAAACCCTAAACCCAATGCCCTAAACTCTATAAACCCTGAAACCCTAAACCCTAAACCTTAAACCCAATGCCCTAAACCCTAAACCCCGAAACCCTAAACCCTAAACCTTAAACCCCGAAACCCTAAACCCTTAACCCCCTAAACCCTAAACCCTAAACCCCTAAACCCTAAACCTTAGACCTCCTGGTCAGGGAACCCGGCTCCAATGACCCACAGCGGACTGTGAGCATGGGGCCGCCTCCGGCTTCTAGCAGCAAGCCATCACGTTTAGGGTTTAGGGTTTAGGGTTTAGGGTTTAGGGGTTTAGGGTTTAGGGGTTAGGGTTTAGGGTTTAGGGTTTAGGGTAGACTTCCGTGCAGTGCCACACCCCAGATCCTAAGCCCTAAGGCCGTGGTGGCACCCTATACATACCTAACGGTCCAAAGGACCTAATCATTCGGAGTTATGTAGGTGAGGTTTTTGGGAGAGCTTTGCGATTATGGCGTACTTGGACCCTTACCTAGACCCCCCAACTACCCTCTATTAGCCCCCAAAATACCCACGATTAAGGACCATAAGGTCTCTATTAAAAGGAGCGGGTCCTGGTAGGGTAAGGCCGTTGCACAAAACAGAGCGTCGATCACTGTCCGCCCTCCGAGAAGACTCTACAGAAGCCCTTAAAGGATTCATTCGTCAACGTCCCATATCCCTAACTCTTAACGGGGTTCCTTGAAACATGGCTATAGGGTTTCCGTAAGGGTCCATGTACCCAAATAGTGGATACTTTGGCCCTAAAGTACCCAAATGGGGACTACTTTAAGGCCAACGTATATACTCTTTGGGTACATGGACCCTTAGGGTATGCTACACCCCTAAAGCAACCCTGATATAAACCCTTGAAATGAGGTCCTTAAAGGAACATAAACCCTAAACACTAAACCCTAAACCCTAAACCCTAAACCTTAAAGGAACATGATACCCTTATCTTAGTAGCCTTTGTAGAAACCCTTTCAGGAAGCCCTTGCATGAATCCTTCAAGGAACAGTATACCCTTATAGTAATCGTAACCCTTCTGGAAACACTTGAATGAAATCATTAAAGGAACCAGTAGAAGGCCTTGGCAGCATGCCTTAAACAAACACTTGTTCACCATAGACCCTTCTCCTCATAGTTATCCTAGCCCTCTGAAGAGGCCCCTGAAAGAGAACTTAAAAGAACATTCTCCAAGGGCCCGAAGGACCCCAAAATAAGGTACCCGCATCTAGGATAGAATAGTTATAAAGGTTAGTAGTTTGGAGAGCTTTGGTATGTGATGAAGATTAGGTGCTTGGACACTTAGGGTTTGCCCCCTGCCTGACGGGCCAAGGAGCAATCGGCGGAGTAACTTCGGAGCGCTGCAACCAAAGCGTTGGTGCCAGGTAGAAGCCCGCAATGACTCGTCCTTCAATAGGGCTTACCCATAGGCCCTAAAGTAGTTCCTTTTTGGGGTTCATCTATAGAATCCTATAAGGTACCCCCAAAAAGGAACTACTATGGGGCCCATGGGTAGGGTTCCCCCTTCCGGGGCGTGAAAGACTTAAAGGGGTTCCTTGAAACATGGCTATAGGGTTTCCCTAAGGGTCCATGTGCCCAAATAGTGGATACTTGGGCCCCAAAGTACCTAAATAGGGACGACTTTAAGGCCAAAGTATATACTATTTGGGCACATGGACCCTTAGGGTTTAGGAGTTCTAGAAAGAACCTGCCGAGACTTAAGTTAAAGCTTAAACGGCTCCTCAAAGCGGGTGCCTGAAGGCAAATCTAGGGTTCCTTCTATTCCTTGTAGGCTTAGGGTTCAGGGTTTACCATAAGGGTCCTTTTGGGGTTCGTTTTCGAGCTCCCGGCCGTAAGGTCTCCTTGCAAAGGGTTGTAGAGGCATCTGCTACAGTAGGGTCGTTTGGGAAAAAAGGATTCAAGGGTTTCAAGGATCAGAATGGTTTTGAGATTTGGGGAATAGGCGGTTTATGGTTTAGAGTTCAGGGGTATGCGAGGCCCCAGATTTTTACAGGGTCTTTAGGTTTGGGTCTAGTGGTGGTGCCAGATTGGTTAGCCTTAGGAGAACAGTTCGTAAACCCTAAACGTTTAGGATCGCAGTGTTCGTCGTCCGTAGCCGTAGATGAGACACTGCAAGCTCGAGCTCCAACTCTCGACCGCGAAAGCTGTTGTGGGAACCCTTAGCAAGCCAAGCCCAAAGACACCCCAGAGACACCAAGCTGAGGGTCCTTCAGTGTATGCTTTCGTTTCGAAGCTATGCCAGTCGTAGATTCAGGGTTTATATAGGCATTCAGGATTTAAGGGGGGCCAGGAGTTGTGCCATCCACGCAGGCAGGGTCTGGCTTGTTCCTTCGTGTGCTGGGCATGATACACTCTCCAAATTGCCAAACCTGGGTTTAGGGTTTAGGGTTTATAGGGTTTAGGGTTCAGGGTTTAGGGCTCGCAATTGATCCAGGACCCAAGCCACTCAACGTCAATTCGGAGTTGCAAAACTCGTGGTACGACCCCAACGGCTCAATAAACTCGGGAGTCACCAACCTTCAAGACGTCTAAACTTTAAACCATATCCTAACCCATCACGCCTCCTCCAGTGACCACGCGGTCGTCAAGCTGCCCTAAGAAGACAAAGTTCTTGGTTTCCAGGTGAAGACCAATCTCTTCCTGTCGTCATTGGCCCTAGCTATACACTCTACCCATAGGCTCCATTGTAGTTCCTTTTTTGGTTTATATCTGGGATCATGTAAGGTAATCCCAAAAAGGAACTACAATGGAGCCTATGATATTCTGTGGCTAACCATTTTCACGATAACAACACTCGAAGGGGGACGAGGACCTGCGGGGGCTTCATACTGTATTTAACCGTAAACCCTAAACCCAGAACCCTAAGCCCCTAAACCCTATACCCTAAGCCTTAAACCCTGTTTAGATTCGGGAACCTCAAGGAATGGTATGAAAGACGAGTTAGGCCTCGATTCACGTCGTTAGGGAGAGGAGCCCCAAACCAAACCGCAAGACAGTATACGTAGAAACGATGCCCTAACCCCCCAGCTACCTACTATAGAGGGTACTAGAGCCTCTAGGGCCCCATATAGTGCCTATATAGAGGGTACTAGAGCCCCTAGGGCCCTATACAGTGCGTATATAGTAGGCACTTGGAGGGTTCGGGATGGCCTTTTCAAAACAAAACAGCCTTGGCCACGAAGCGATGTAGACCACTGTAGGTTTAGGGTTGACCTTTGACGGTAAGTTTTTGGGGTCCAAGTAGGTTTTAGAGGCAAGGATGCAAAACATATTCCATAGAAAAGGCTTTCCCTAGGAGTCCAAGTACTTAATACGCGTATATTCTCACCAATACTAACCTACACCACTACTATCCCTAACCAGAGTACCTTATTATTGGGTCCTTTGGGCCGTCAGGGTTTAGTATTAGGGATTTGGGCACCTACAAGCCCGTCGAGGTCTCCCCAAAAGGCGTGCTTGTACCTTTAGAACTTAAGCAACTACATAAAGCTTGTCAGGCTAGTGCTACATAGAAGTTGAAGTTCGAACAAAATATGTACACATGCATATATATATATATATACTTGCATGTATATATATATATATGTCTGTATATTAAGTATGTATGTATGTATGTATGTATGTATGTATGTATGTATGTAGGTATATGTCATTTATGTATGTATGTATGTATGTATGTATGTATGTATGTATGTATGTACGTATGTACGTATGTATGTTGGTATGTATGCATGTACGGTATGTAGGTGTGTGTATATATTTATATATATATATATATATGTATGTGTGTGTGTACATGTATGTATGTATGTATGTATGTATGTATGTACGTATGTATGTATGTATGTATGTATGTATGTATACTGTATGTATGTATGT